GACACGGGGCTTCGAAGCCGAAAGCGCCCAGCTTCAACGTCGCCCGTTCCTGGGAACACGTAGTCCAGGCATCCTGCTGCAGGCTCAGTTAACAGTTACGAACGTAACCGTAAAGCCGGCACGTACGGCCGCAGTCTTCTGCAGACATGGATCTTCCATTGCAGGCCACCCAGGCAGCCAGGAACCCAAAGGTTGTTCGCAGACGGACCAGATTCTCGCATTGCGGCAGAAGATCGCAGAGTGTGCTTCAAAGTCCTTATGAATGAGCCGTAGAGACGCACTGCGATGAATCCTGGCATCGCAACAAACCTCATGGCCCCTCAGAAAGAATCATGCTGCCATGGCTCTGCCAAATCATCCTCAGGTTCCTGCATCTTTTGCTTCGCCTGCCTCAGAACAGTTACTTTCCAAAGCTTTCATAGCCTGCTGCCACAGATCTTCTATTTTAAAGCACGAGCTAGAGGATGCAAACAGGTAACATGAAAAGGCTCGAGAAAATGCCGCTGAAGCGAAGGCCACCAAGGCGAACTCTTGCCAACAAGGCCAAGCCTTTGTCATGTAGCAGTTTCGCGTTTTGATGACATGATGTCATGTCATGGTCTAACAAAAAATTATCCAAGACTCACTGCCGCTTGCCTTCGTAGGTCGTGAGATCACCATCGAAGGCGAACTGAGTCTTCAGTCCAGCCTCAATTCTTCTGAGACAACCACAGAATTCCGCAATTCTACGACATGATTGGCTACCAGCAAACTTGGCCACGGGTGTTCTCTTATTCTTAGTGCAGCTGAAAGTCGGCATAAGCCGTGATCCCCACCGAAGGGGCCCAGGCAACCTCCAGCAGGTCCACGTCCCTGGAAAAGCAGTCCTCCGTCATATAGGACTCCTCGAAGACAAACTCGCAGGTGTCTCGCAGCATCTTCACAAAATATGGGGGCAGACCCTCCGTGGAGAACATGGCGAAGGCGAAAATGGCGAAGGCGAAAAAAACCAGCCGTGAATAACTAGCATGAGCACTCTAGTCACTAATCCTACAGTATTACTGTATGACAGTTATGCCTTTGAAATGTCCTGCGATGTATCTTGCTATGTGTGTGGATGTCTCTGAAACCCTCCGTCCGAACTTCACAGACTGGCCTTGAACAAAAAAGGCACATGCCACCAACAAGTTGCTGTCTTTATTGCAAAGTCGCATGTGCTGCATGCGAAACAACTTCAGAACCAGCAATCTTCGCCTCCTCCTGGGCTGGCTGCTTGACCACTGTTCCTTCAGCTCGTCCCACGGCAGGGAACATTCCTGGCAAAACAGAATGAACTCCGGACACAGGCAGCAAGAGAAAGTCATCAGACCTGTTTTTGGGGCTTCCTCCTCCGAACCTTCTTTCATATTCATCTGGAACATGCAGGCACATGGAGTTTGCACTTATTGTCTGGACCTATCATCGTCTATCGCCTCCTCGTCCTTGCTCGCTAGTCTTATGTGTCTGCCGTGCCTGAAACGTCTGCCTGCTTGGCGATCTCATGTTCCAGCTGCTCGCCCTGTTAGTGTTGTATTCCATGTCGACCTGGACCGGACGGCGCTGCCTGCCCTACTAGAATTGAAACCTACGTAATGAAAAATGCACGCGGGACCTGGCGACCTGTCACCTGCGGTACTTAAACTGCTGAAGATAATGTTGCATGGCACTGCAAGAATTCACAACAAACCTCAATTGAAGAAAAGGATTCTGTCGAGTCTGAGGTCTGCCAATGAAGCCGGGCCTCCGGATTCCGCAAATTTCCTGGAAGACCATGGCCAGGGACCTTAGATAGACTAGAATTCTAAGAACCACCAATGCTCGCATGAAGCTGTGCAAAGACTAACGCCCTCTGCAAACACGAACGCCTTCCAGCTGGCCGACTCTTCCGATGTCCTTTTTTTGTCTCCACGACCCCCCGGAGCGCGAACTCGAAGGCGACACGATGGTCGTCTGCAGGACCCCACAGTGAGACCAAGACCAATGGAAGGCCAGGCCGAGTCACACAGAACATGTGTGCAGGAACAAGTCAAGGCTTTGCTGCTTGCAGCAAGGTTCTGCGCAGAGGCTCGGAAAACGTGTTGCACAACCCCCGAACTAACCGCAAGGTCGACTCCGAAGGCGAAGGCGACATCGCGTACATTGTCAGGATGAAGTCACTGGCCAAGTCCTGCATGCACCAATTCATAAAGGCGAATCTGAGTGAAACGTCAGCTCATACCTACCGCCCGGCCTCTGTGGCTTTTTGAAGACAATCTAGTGCTTCGCTGCTGAAATGCAGCTTTGACTGGGGAGCCACATCCAAGGCGAGCTTGTGAACTACTGCCTTGAACGATTTCTTCGGGATGGACAGGTAGTTGTCTATACTTTGCAGATCATGTATCTGCTGCTCCACCAGTCGCCGGTTGATCTTGACGGGGTACTTCTTACTCGAGGCACAAGACGACCCCGAAGACGACCCCGAAGACGACCAAGGCGAAGCCGACGAAGACGACGGCGAGCTCTGAACCTCACACGTTGGTCACCATTCAGAGGACAAGGTGCAGAACGACACTTTGCATTGTAACTGTAACGTCTTGCGTACTCTGCAGTCACAGGAACATTGGAACGCCGAGGGGGTGTGCAAGGCGAAGGCGAGCTGTTGACCTCACATCAGAAGAATCTTGTCAACAGTGCTTGTCAATTGTCTGTGAATTTCCAGTCCTGGAACCAACTGATTGCAGAAGCGGCACTTGCAGCTCTGCTTGCTTGCCCGTCTTCCGTGTAGCCTCATCTTGGTCAGGAACTAAGTGACAGGTCCAGAGCGAGCGTTTCGGCCAGAGACGCATACTTGCGAGCAGAGCACAACCACCCTCTGCTTCTCTAGCTGGCCTGTCTTCCGTGTGGCCTTAGATTCAGTCAGTACTTCGCACAAGTTCTAATCTAGCAACAATAAATGACAAGACTGGCTTACAACCACGGCACTCCAGCTTCCTTGCCTCTGTTCCGTGTTGCCTCAGCTGTTGCAAATTTCCTCTGAAATTTAAACACACAGAAGCAAGTGCGTCTCGAACAAACTGGCAAGGCACTCGCACCATCTCTGCTGGATTCTACCCCGGTGGACACTGACTCGCACGGTCCAGCAATGAACCCAGAGCAAACAAATGCTGCAGCACATGCTTCGATTCCTGCTGCTTGCTCACACAACGGCAGCCCAATATGAGACACACGGACTTCTAAACCCAGGTGCCAGACTCTCTGATCGCCAATGGCCTCATGCGCCAGAAGCTTGCAGGATTTATTGCAACTCAGATTTCGGCAGAATGACTACTCAGCCTTGCCAGTCACACCAAGTCGAGACTCCACGGCCAGGACCTCGGAGTCATCTCGGTGCCAAATGCGCACGTCACGACCCCATGTTCACATGCACTGGACTCGATGCTTTACTGGACCTAAGCATGTCGAGCTGCGGAATCTGTCGGCCAAAGACCTCAACTCCAAGGGAATGGGGTGTGACCAAGGAATCAGGAAGCGCAAATAGCTGAGCAAAGCATTTCTTCACTTTTGGACCACTTTGTGCTGCAATCGAGGTCTTTCGCTGGAAGAGCCTGGAAGACTCGTGGTCTTGCGAGCCATGCAAAAAAACCAGTCTTGACTAAACTATTAATTGGTCCTGTCCTTTGTGTTCTAATGTAGTTCAGGCTTCGGCACGGCTCGCAAGAAAGCTGGCCAGAAACTTACCTGTGCCAGCTCCACTTCTTCCAATTGTCGTCATACCACACCCACTCCCAATCTTCCCACCAACTATTCCAAGACCAGAAGCCATCCTGCGAGCTCTGGTGCGAAGACGAAGTCGACTGGTGCCAAGACGAAGTCGACTGCGACGGAGGCTGGGAAGATGCGGCAGCCTGGTGCTGCTGGGACGAAGACGACGAAGGCCCTCCCTCTCCTGGTCCCTCTCCTGGTCCTTGTGAAGAGGAGAATGATTGACTCCATAAATCGTCAATGACAAAGTAATTAGAAGCAAGAAAAATTTGCAAAAGGAAGAAGTCGGGCATAATCCAAGAAGCGAAAAGTCCTCACATTCAAGCGGGACATGACATGAAATTGCACGCTGGCGGACGCATTGCGGAACACTTCGTCGAGGGGACAGTTGCCCTTCTTGCTCCTCTCCCTGAGTTAACGGCCAAGGCAATCAGATAGTGAGGTTTCAAACAACTTCTTTTCATAGACATGATAATTCATTAAAACATCCGATCTTCTACTGATGAAATGCCGCCCGAGCTTCCGAAGAATATGGGCCATAAATTCCCGGGCTTTCGTCTTGTCTTCTTCCGTCAATGCTGCCATCCCCTGGACTGAAGCAAAACAGACCATCTGTTTGAATATTGAAGCAGGCAACAACTGAGTCCATGCTTGCAGGCAAGTCACGGCCCAGGCACTGTCATCGATGTTCATCTGGATCATCAGCTCGAAGAGCTCCGGCGTGTATTTTCTGACCATTCGCTGTGCCAGTGTGAGGTCCTCCTCCTCAGACTCTTCCTCGCCGTCACCATCGTCGTCATCATCATCAGCAGGCGGCGGCTTCCCCGGTGGCGGAGGCGGCGGAGGACCAAGAGACTCCAAAAACTTCGCCGTTTGCGAAGGCCAAGACGGACATTTGTTCTTGCTGCCACTTGGGGGCGGCTGATCATCATCATCATCATCATCCGGTAATGACGACTCCTCCTTCTCGAGAAATTTTTTCTTGTCGTCCTTGTTCTCGTCCTCCTCCTTCTTCTCGTCCTCCTCCTTGTTCTCGTCCTCCTCCTTGTTCTCGTCCTCCTCCTTGTTCTCCTCCTCCTTGTTCTCGTTGTCATGGTTCTCCTCCTTGTTGTCCTCCTTCTTCTCGTTGTCATCGTTCTCCTCCTTGTTCTTCTCCTCCTCCACGTCCGCCTTTTCCTTTTTTTTTTTACGGTCCTCCGTCTTCGGCGTTGAGGTCTGGATGTTCATGTGGAAGACGGTGTTCAAGAACCTGAGGAAGCAGGACTAATTAAAGGAAGAACACGTTGAATTGATTGAACATTGACTATGCAGCCCATCGGCCTCCTTTCCGCCTCTGTTTGGATATTTTTTATCGCAGCTGTGATCTTCTTCGACTCTGCGAAGCTTGGAATGTCGTCCATGTCTGAGTAGAAGGCAGATTTTCCCGGCACCCATAGCGAAACCATAAAGCACCAGCCCACCACCATCGCAGTAGCGACGGAACGAAGGCGACCATCCCCGCCTAAGTACCAAGCAGTGTCTGACTCGACATGGTGCAACTCACTCCTAGGACCAGTGACTGATCGCCAAGTTGCACGTGAGGATGATGACGTGGGCCTTGTCGTCTCGTCCATCCTTGGCGGCGCAGATGCCCATGACCTGGGTGGGCTCAGCATTCAACATTCCCAAAAAAAGGAAGGTCTCTGTCCAAGCACACGGAATCAGCCGAGATGCCACGCACAGCACTGACACCATGGCCTCGGAGCCCTCCAAGATGAGCTTGTAAAAGTCATTTTGTGAACTCAGAGGGTCTCCTTGGCCGGATCAGAAAGCAAGGAAGTTTGGCACCAACGCAACAGCTCAAGTAAATTGCCGCCAAGCTTCCGCCATGGAGGCTGTCGGGGAGCTCCCCCGGCCACAGCCGCTGGACGTCCAGCAGGCAAACGGCCGCTGTCGGCCAGTAGCTCTTCGCGTCATCTCAGCTTCTGCTATAATACAGGGAACTCCAGAAAGTTGGAATATGGTTTAATGCTAGGATACCCTATAATTTACCATAGAAGAGTTAGGATAATCATATTCCAACTTTCTGGCTTTTACCTTATTACAAAAAAAAACCTTGGCCTACCTGAAGGAGGACGCTTTGTTAATTTCAGTCCAGATGCAGATGTGCGTCGGGTTGTTGCCGTGCGCCGCGACGATGCAGCAGTCGAGCTCGACGCACAAATACGTCGTCATGACGAAGGCGAAGACGACGAAGGCGAAGAGGACGAAGGATGACGCCAAAGGCGACGAAGGCGAAGGCGAAAAAGGCGAAGACGACGAAGGTCCTGGGATCGCGGAATTTCGCATGAAATGAAATACTTACATGCTCTCACTGCAAGGTCACGTGGCAGGCTCCTTCTCTCGACGCTGGGCTCCTTCTCTCGACGCGGCCGTCCAAGCCAGGGACAGAAAACGGCTAAAATTCTGCTGCTTCTGCCGGCTAAATCATCAATTCCAGTGACACTGTTTCATAACGACATCAGCCTACTCTTCTATTAAGAATTAACTCGGCTTCAATGTCCTGGTATAGAATGCTGCATGCGTAGACATGTGCATGTGCTCACTCCCTCACTTGAGCAATGATTAAAAAGCTGGCACAAACCAAGGACATTCATTCATGCAAGTGCCCGAACTGACTGACTTGGCACGAAGCAGCATCTACTCAGTCCCGAACCATCTGTAATGACTGATGTGCATGGCCAAGGTGTCATCCAACCTGGCGGCAGACAATGTGAGCGGTAATCATGACATTGCTCTGAAGCATTTTGTCGGCATGCCTCTTCGAGCTGCTCACTTCAACTTCGCACATGACATTGTAGGAACGAAGCAGCATCTACTCAGTCCCGAACCATCTGTAATGACTGATGTGCATGGCCAAGGTGTCATCAAACCTGGCGGCAGACAATGTGAGCGGTAATCATGATTTCAGCAACCCCTGGTTATCATCATTGTTCAGGATTGCTCTGAAGCATTTTGTCGGCATGCGTCTTCAAGCTGCTCACTTCAACTTCCCACATGACATTGTAGGAAGCGAAGGCGAAGACGAAACAAAGGCGAACGCCCAACGAAGGCGAACACCAATTCAAAAAAAAGCCTAGGCCGGGCCTTTGGGATTGCCCTTGCCTTTGCCTTTGTCGCTACCTCTGCCGGGCCCTCCCAGGTGCTCGGGAAGCGGCCGCCACGGCTTCGGAGGGCCTCTCAGGCCATGCAGCTGGCTGGTGGTGCCCCCCTTAGCGATTCTGGGCTATGTAGCAAGTCATGTTACTTACCTACAAATAGAATATAAAACATAAAAGTTTATTGTTGTAAATAAAATACCAAGTCTGCTCAGGGAACGGTCGTCGCTGACTGAACATACCTGGCATAGATCGCGAGCTCGGGAGTGTGGAAGGCGTATAACGCCTCCCACTGGGCGAACTCCGCGATCTGCCGCTGCATGAACTGACATGGGCACGCGAAACCAGCCCCTAGAAATTGAGGCTGACTCAAAGCCGATCATAGTAAGTACAAGTCCTTGGAACCTTATTTAGTAAGTTGAAAGAACCAGGCCCTGCCTGAAGGCTGTCACGCGCCTCTCCAGGTGTTCTGGGCGTCGGCGGGAGGGCGATGTTCAAGGACTGCCGGTCCAGCCCATGGTCTTGGGCGGTGGCATAGTTGTCGCTTGACAACATCCACACCACTCGAGTCTTGATCGCCGCCAGCTCATTCATGGCCTGTGTCCACAAGCTGAAAACGTCCCCCGGGGGGGGGGGAACTGGACAGCACGAAGACGAAGCCGACGAAGGCAGCGAACTCGAAGCCGGAGGCGCCTTCGACGAAGCCGGCGACGAAGTCGAAGCCGGCGGCGAAGTCGAAGCCGGCGGCGGAAGCGGCGGCGGCGGAATGGGAGCCGCCGCCATGTCGGCACCCAGACCTGCCTCCGCCGGCAAGACAGCAGCTGCAGGAGCTTTGGCAGCGATTGGTGTGGCACCAACTGGAGTACTGCCTGGGATTTGAAGTTCCAAATCCGCATGCCTGGCCTTTATATTAATTATTGACTGTTTTTAATCTTACGAAGCAGCAAACATAATGATGTACTGTTTCATGCCTTACAAGTTAGAAGAGCTTGACCTGATTGAATGCCAAGGCACTAGCCTTGCCCTGCTGCTGCTGCTGCCATCTCGCCCTCTTCACGCTCCGGGTCGACGTTGGATCCTGGATCTAGAAGATATTGGGCAATTCAATTGAATAGGGCAAAACGGTGAGGGGTAATATAACGGCCTGTGGGGGAAGGACAGCTCAGCCCTTACGCGAACACTCTTGCTAGGAAATATGAGAAAAATGACACGTAAATCAAACCTGGTCTCTCTGGGCTGTGGCTCCTTCGGCTTCGCCTTCGAAGGCGAAGCCGAAGCCGCTGCACCCTTGGCCTCTGCCTTGGCCGTCGAAGACGAAGGCGAAGCCGCTGGACCCTCGGCCTTCGAAGGCGAAGGCGAAGCCGCTGGACCCTCGGCCTTCGAAGGCGAAGGCGAAGCCGCTGCTGGAGCCGCCTTGGCCGCTGCATCCGAAGGCGGCGAAGACGAAGGCGCCGAAGGATCAGGCGCATGCTTGGGCTCAGAGCCAGCAGTGGCACCATCTTCGCCCTTTCGCTTGCGAGGCATTACTACAAAAAACTGGAATAACCGGCCTACGTTAACTACTGAGAACTTGTATTACAAACCCTGGGTTCTAACCCGCTTCAGACTTCAAGGCTTTGCTCTGTGGAAAAGGTGGTGAGCTCTGTCTGACGTGAAGAATCCACTTTGACCTTACAATGTTCTGCTGACTCCACCAAAATAAACTACACGAGCTTCAGACTTCACGGCCTTAAATGGCCCAATCAGCTACACCTCGCTTGAACCTTCCAATGCCAGAAATCATGGTCTTCGCACATGTCGGAATCAACAGGAGAGTCTCATGGATAGGCTGGTCCCGAGTTTGACTTTATTTACAGATCTATCTACCGGGACATCTAGACATTACTGGGTTTTTTACCACGGCAAGAATACAGAAGCTTCCAAGACCATCCCTAAATCCTGCGGAATCTGATTCTTTGAGCAAAACCCTGCATCTACTCAGAAGGGGATTTCGTGTCCAAGGGTGCTGAAGATCAATTCAATGGCCCAAGTGGTTCCAGGGAAATCCGGGATTAGAATGGCAATCGATGTGGAACCCGATTACGCCTCTGCAACTTTAGGAAGGGTTTGGGGTCTTCACCCGAAATATGGTTTGGGGAGCATAGGGGCAAGGCAGGTCGTGGTGCGAGGAGGCAGCTTCTGATTCTTAGCGTGCGAGCTGAGTTTCACGGTAGCTTTTTCTTACCTCCTCAACCCTAAACCCTGCCTAAACCCTAAACTCTTTCCTGGACGAATGCGACAGTCAGTGGCCTTGACGAAGACGAAGTCCGAGTAAGTGACGATGGCAATTCATTGCAGGACCTGGCAGGAGCTTGAAGGTATAATATGATTGCCTGCAAACACACTGGCCTTGACGAAGACGAAGTCCAACTAATGTAAGTGATGACCTCAAACGCTAGACCAGGCGGGAGCTTCAAGGGATAAGCTTGCTGAATGCACACTGGCCTTGACTGACGACCGCAAATGCAGGACCTGGCAAGTGTGCAGTGAGGTCGGTAGTCGCAAACCAAAGAAACAGTGCTAGTATATGTGATAGCTGAACACATACCCGAAGTCGTTTGCAACGACTGTCCCCAAGCTCAGGCTCACACGACTCTCCGGACTGGCACAGCGGCCAAAACGGCGGCGCATGGCAGCCTGCACGCGGACCCGGGTGATTCCAGACACCAGGGGGGTCCTACAGGGGTCTGTGACCTTCTTCGATGATCGCAAGGGATGCAGGTTGGGAAGAAGAGGGCTGGGAAAGTGGCCTCGAGGCTGCAACATGACATGCTACTTCCTACGCCTAGTGGCTGGCCTAAGGTGGCACCGCCTTACCATGGACATGAAAAAAACGGGTTCGCATGTGCCTATCTTAAGCTCACTCGCCTTTGTTGATTAATCCTAATGGGGCTGGGGCTGGGCTGCTACTGCTAGGCAAGGTTAAGTAGGGAAGCCCCCAAACGTGTCGGCCGACGACGGCTGCCGGCAGCAGCCAGCGAAGACGAAGGCGAAGCGGCCGCAAACCCCAAATGATCAGAATCAGTAATAAGGTCTTATGGACGAGTGAGCAATCAAAGGGTGCCACCGTAATTAATCCAGCCCCTACTAATGTCTTCCCCATAATCCCCATGGACTAAATCACTAGGGGGATTACCTCGAGCAGGCATGGGAGTTTAAGGTTGGGTTTAGGTTGGGCCTACGCCATGCACGAGACATGTCCATGCCAGCCCGGTCCTGGGCGTTGGTTCACTCCCCTTGCAGGAGATCAGGAGCCCGCAGGCAGTGCAGCGCATGACGCCAACCTGAGGGTTGTCCCCGCCAGCGCAGTGGCAGTGGTTCCCAACAGTCGAAACAACGGGGAACATGCCGCTTTCCATGTCTTGGAGGCTCCGTGGTTCCTCGCTCACCATGGTTGCCTGCCGCTTCTCGGCTTGGCTCTGTTGCCCTGGGCTAGAAGCTTGGACCGAGCATGCTCCGGTGCTCATGGACCCACTAGC